GTGGTAAATCTAAAAAATTGTTATGAAATAATTTCTTACGTGTATCGCAGTTCCTCATAATCCTTTCTTTTAAAGTAAGGTCCTAGATTAGTTGTTACAAAGTACTCCTTAAATACGTTAGCAAAAAATATGACGAACCCTATCAATAGCCATCGATACGAATAACACAAATTGCGATAAACTGACAAGGAATCGGGTGGGTATAAATGAGCTGAATCGCATGGCACTTCAATATTTGAACGGTTCAAATTCCACGAGAATAGTCTTTCGTATAAATAATTTGTCGATTTTCGTTAGTCACTCCTTCAGCGAGCAACATAAAATGAATATAAATAAGGAATAATTAGATTTCCTTGAGATATGTTGGGTTATGCAGATGCAAGATAAAAGGATTTTTTGGCAAGCAGTTAACTGAGGAGATAACCTCAGGCACGATAAAAGTTATGAAATATAAGTGTAAACTGCAGAATTTTCCGTTAAGAGTCCACAAATATATTTTCCGCTTATCTTACGTCGCGTAAACCGGTTCCAAATTTGTTTACTTTTTGTTTACTCTGAAGGTCATAGGTGCACCTGAATAATTTAAAGTTGCTCGTATGACAACTGAAATGACCGTATATTCAACACCCTGGGTATCTTTAAAAAAGTGTTTGCTTGAGATTATCACCGACTGGACGAACGCTGTAATTTAAATCTGATCGAAAAACACTAGAGAACAGTTAATTAATGATTGTGTACTGGTTTCTGGATGATGTAAAATCGGAAATTACTCACACTGCTGCTGACAAAAAGAAATGGGAAGAATACCTTCGTCAAACTGACGAGTTGTCCCACAGATTGCTCTTTATTCAGAAAACTGCACCGTGCTGCGTTTCAATTCCCTGACACGTGCCCATATACTCTTAAAGAAATGCCCCCCAGAGGCAGATACACAAAAGCCCTCAAGCCCTCTACACAGTTTTGTATATCTGATGCAGCCAGAAACTCAATACTGCAAACCATTAAGCGGGTATTTCCAGTTTGTGGTAAAAAAAGGTTTGCCCAAACGTCTTCGGTAAGGCAACATCTTGAATATGCTATCCAGACATAGAGGCCTTAAACACCGCACGAATACTACCTAATTGAAAATGTGTAGAGATGAGCCTATGAAATAGTAAGATATAAAGATGTACTGCCAATAAGTTCAAACAAAGTAAACTCAATTTTTATCTTCTGCGATATAGGCAGTTT